TGTTTTAAAGACTTTACAAATGTCCTTTTTGGTAGTAAACTCCATTGTTTAATAATCTCACTGTCGGAAATTTCTAGTTTCAAATAGAAGGCTTTCCACTGTAGTTTAATCCAATTTTCTCTAAGTGAAATCTCATCAAATCAAAAGTCAGCAAACTTTTTCTGTAGAAGGGTTGGTTAGATAGTGATATTTTAGGTTTAGAAAGTTCTGCAATCTTTGTTGCAACTAATCAACTCCATGTGTCATTATAGCTTAAAAGCAGTCATAGGTGGTCTATAAACAAATGAGCTTGGCTTTGTTCCATTAAAACTTTATTTATAAAAATAGATGGTATATTTGCACGTCATCATTTATAGCAGCATTATTCACAGTAGCTAAAAGATGGAAATAAGCCAAGTGTCTGTCCATCAGCAGATGAGTGAATGAACAAATGCTATGCCCCGGTACAGGTACATTAAGCAGGCATGAGAAAGAATGCCATTTTGATATGTGCTACAACATGGATAGATCTTGAAAACATGCTTGGTGACATAAGCCAGGCACAGAAGGATAAGTACTGTATGATTCCACTTTTAAAAGGTACCTGGAGTAGACAAATTCATAGAAACAGAAAGTAGAAGATAGTTTACCTGGAGGCTGGAGGAGGGGTTATTTAGAAATGGGCACCAGGTTTCTTTTGGGGGTGATGAAGTTGTTGGTATAGATAGTGGTGATAGTTACACAACATTGTGAATGTACTTAATGCCACTGAATTGCACATTTTCAGAGGGTTAAATATGTTCATATCTTTCAGCAAAAAAATTTTTTAATGTGGAATAAAAAGTAAAGAGTGAAAATAGGGTCTGTGAGGCAGGCCGAGTTTGACCCACTGCCTGTACTTGGAGAGTATAAAGCTTTGCCAGCCTCTGCTTTAGGCTTATTTCATCCATTTTTATTTTATTTTTTTTTAATATGTTTTTGTTGACTTCAGAGAGAGGAGGGGAGGGAGAGAGAAACATCAGTGATGAGAGAAAGTCATTGATCACATGCCTCCTGTACACCCCTGACTGGGGATTGAGCCCGCAAGCCAGGCATGTGCCCTGACCAGGAATCAAACCATGACCTGGTTCATAGCTCGATGCTCAACCACTGAACCATGTCAGCTGGGCTCGTTCGTTTATGTATATATAATTTATTTTTTTTTAAATCCCTGATTGGGGCACACACAAGAATCAACCAATGACTGCATAAATGGGTGGAGCAACAAATTGATGTTCCTCTCTCTC